ACTTGTCAAAATAAGCAATTCAAGGGTGTGCATTAGTAGGCTTCTGGTATGTGCCCTGGGTGGCTGAAGGCACTCAGTCTTGATATCCGCACTCTGCTCTGCATACCCTCTTGCAAATAATTGCAATAGCATTGAGGAAGGGGGAAATCACTGTTTTAGGTCCGCACATTCTATTTGCATATAGCTTTAAACTAAACCTTTTGTTTTCCACATTAGTCTTCTTTAAATATGCAGTTGGTTCTGGAGACAGTAAATGCACATTATGCAAACAAGCTGCATGAAAGAAGACAATGCACCTTTACAACACAACCAGACACAAACCTTGAATACAACCAGTGTTTTAATATAAATGTCTTTACAGGCTAAATTGTTCTCACTGTGAGACAAGCTCTAATAACATTATCTGAGGAATGTAAGAATGCTGGCCACAACATTAAATGTAAAAAACAAGATATACCTGCCATGTAATTGAGGGACCACCAACCGCCATATGCATATAATCCCTGGAAAAAAGCTTCAGCAATCTGTGAGGCATCAGGAATCTCTGAGCTGAATGCATTCTCAAACCTTACTAAATTCTCCTTTCTTCCTCTAATCAGCAGAACAATGCCTCCTATGCCAATTACAGATAGTGCCATCATCTTCAGTACTGTGAAAACAGTTTGAACCCAAGTAGCCATTTTGACACTTCGGCCATTCAGAATACCCAGAGACCAAATAACTGCCAAAGCCAAGCATTTCTTTAGCAGCTCCGGTGCAGGGCATACACCATAGAAAGGTTGGGTAGCATATTCGGCAAACAACAAGGCTCGAGTAGCATTTGATGCTGGTTTGGTAAACATCGCCGTCCAGATAAAGATGAAAGCAGGTAGGGATCCAAGCGCTCTTTTTATGTGACTGTATTCTCCTCCAGATAATGGTAGGGCAGTCCCCAGCTCTGCATAACAGAGGGCTCCCATCAGCGATATTACTCCACAAGCAGTCCAGATGCTTAGCGCAACACCCACATTAAGTAAGGAGTATTTTAGCACTCCTGTGGGAGACACAAAGATCCCTGCACCTACTATGGTGCCTATAATAAAATTTACCCCATTAAAATACCCTATAGTTCTTTTGAGCTGCATCCTGTCATTTTCATTACTTCTCACTTCTTCTCTGAGATAGTCATGCTTTCCTTTCCCCATTTTCTCTATCTGTTCTCAGATAAGGTCAATGATTGTAGGGGCTTCAGAAGCATTCATTTCCCTTATTCCATGGCTGTGTTGTTATAAAGTTGACCTGACCTTACTCGCTAGTGAAACGCTTCAGAAATGTTGGATTAGTCATTCAGAAGACAAAGCCTTCTTTGGTTTTTTGATGTTTAATGTGTGAAGATGATTAATCAAGTATTGCAAGAACAACTCGTATCAAATGTCAGTATAACCTGTACTTCACAGATTATTAGGTTTTTTTTAAAGAAACAGGCATTATAATACATTAACAATAAATGCTTTCTTCTTCTATAGAGCCTTCCATCAAAGGGGCTCAAAACATTTAACAGTTATTAAAACTACCCTGTGTGGTAGGTAAATATCTGTTTTTTACAGATGGGAAAACTGAAACATAGAGGGGTTAAATAAATTACCCAGTGTCAAATGTGAAAGTGTTTCTGTGACAGAATATGAAAGTCTGTCCTTCATTCATAAAATCTATTACATATCAACTACATTTAAAAATCAGTATCACAGTTGCAAAATCAAGCACTCAAAAGCTAGGAAATTCCAGAATTAATGTTACCTGTGGAACCTTAATTCAGTCATCTTGTGCATATGCATTATGATAGTCTTTACTTACATCATCACTTACTTATTTCCCCCACAGGACACCTGCTTCATTTAGTGCATCGTCTCTACTTAGGATGGGCGAACTTCAATTTTTATAATTTGACTACATTTGTGCTGATTTTTCAAGGGGATTTCAAAAGGACACATCCCTGACCCAAAAGCTACCCCTCTGACAATTTCAAGTCCCTGCTCCAAAGCAGGGGGAGGAGCGAAAGCTTGGCAAAGAAAAGATTACCAGAATATCTTAACATGCACACAAAAACATATTTTTCCCTAGCCTGGTTCTCAGAAATGGCTGAAACATCTTAGGTGATATTTTCCCAAAAGATTCAGCATGGGGCAGACACCCAGCATGAAAAATTTCAACACAAACAGTTTACATTTAACAAAGTTATGGAGTCTTATAATGGGAAGTGTCAGGCAACCTTTATAATAGGTAGTGCTGTCAGCCCCACCAAAATGATAGTTAATGGAGGGAAGTTTGTTTTAGAAAGCAACTAAACCCAGACAGACTAGACCCCATGGGGTAAACACATTTCCCAAACACACTGAATAGGGCCATTAAAACGAAATGGCCCAGTCATCATCAAAACCAGTACATCCATAGCTGAGCCTGAATTTTACAAGCCGTGTTCGAAATTGCAGTTGTGAGCCCCATGGAACTGGGCTGGTTTAGGGGAGAGAGCTATCCACTGGGGATATCTATCCACAGACAGGTAAATCCTTTGTGAGTATGTTAAGAAATATTTGCTTGTATAGTAATATCAGTTAGCGGTGTGAATTCTTTAATGACATTTTATACTGGCAAAAGCCCTAAAATAGACACCTTTATACCAGCATAAAATGTGCTGGTATAGCTTATTTCATTCAGGGAACCAGTATAAACCATATTGGCAAAAACATTTTTTCATATGTAACCCACACACCTCCTGGGTGGTGTGTTCTGTCCCATCTAGTGGCAGAGAGAGAGAGATTAATGAGTTTGTTCTACAGCCTTAGCTAAGAGCCATGTGGCTTTTAGCTCATGCAGTAGAGTTTCATGCATTAATCTCCACCAGTCCCAGATTCAATCCCCCTGACGACGACTGGAGTCTGTCGGTGTTGGCTCTTAGCTAAAGCTGTAGAGCAAACTCATTAATCTCTCTCTAAGTGGTCTCAGTGCCACTAAATGGGACAGAACACCATACCCAGGAAGTGTGTGGGTTACACAGAGATTCCAAGGGACCACTGTAATCATCTAATCTGACTTCCTGCATAACACAGGCCCCTGAAATAATTCCTGTTTGAACTAGAGCATATGTATTGAAACTAACATCCAATCTTGATTTAAAAATTGCCAGTGGTGGAGGATCCATTGCAACCCTTAATAAGTTGTTCCAATTGTTAATCACCCTGACTGCTAAGAAATTATGGCTTGTTTCCAGTCTGAAATGTCTAGCTTCAATTTCCAGCCATTGGCTTTTCCCATTGCATCTGCTAGATTGAGGAGCCCATTATCAATTTGTTGCCCATGCAGATACTTGTAGACTGTGATCAAGTCACCAGTTAGCCTTCTCTTTTTTAGACTGAATAGATTGCGCTCCTTGAGTCTTACACTAGAAGGCATATTTTCCAGTCCTTTCATCATTCTTGTGGCTCTTCTCTGAACTCTCTTCAATTTATCAACATCCTTCTTGAATTATGGACATCAAAACTGGATACTGTATTCCAGCAGCAGTCTTACCAGTGCCAAATACAGAGATAATATAATCTACTTTCTCCTACTCAAGATTCCCCTGATATAGGCTGTGTCTATACTAGGATGGTTTGTGGTATAGTTGTTCTTGAAAACAAGACCTAGGACTAACAGCTGAGAGACACTGTGACAGCAGGACAAGCTGGTCTCCATATATAGGCATTATCCCAGAAGGGGGAATGAGAATGATGATAAGACGGTCATAACCTAGAGCTTGCTATCTGGATCATATAAACTTTTTATGTTTTTTTCTGTAATGGAAGCTGAGAAAGACTCACATCTTAAAGCACGTTAAACCCCTGTGCTTTCATTCTAAAGAGGCCTTAGTTCACTGTAGCTTAATACCTTTAACTTAGTCACATTAACTTCACATCTTTTGTTGATTCATCTTTGCTTGCCTGAGTATCCCTGTATAGACATGGCCTTACCTAGTTTAGCTCTCACCAAAGATAAATCTGGGTATGTTGAGACAACTATTTATTTTGTGTTAAATTATTTTCTGTCTAGTTTTTAATAAATCTCATTTTAGGGAAAGGATGCCGTGTGTGTCTAAATTTCACACAGTCCCATCTCTGAGGAGAAAACACACAGGTAACCTCTTAGAGAGAGGAGTACATCTAAAACCCAAACACCCCACTGTAATCTTGATCAAAAGGGCATGAACAGAAGGATCCACTCCCAGTAAAATACATTGCAGACATTAAAACAGGTAATCCAGATAATCCATAAGTGGGAGACACCGAGAGACCAAACAGGAGACGGAGATGGCGTTGGCCTTTTGGTGACAATACGATAGAGACAGGGTCCAGGAATAGAACCAGGCCTGTAGTCGGTGCAGTAAGAGTGGACAGGACATAGGGAGCTGTTTGGAGGCTATTAACAAACAAGTAGATGGGTCAGTGTTAGACACTGTCTCAGTATGCTGCAATCTCAAGGACTAAGATTGCTGCTGCCTTTCTTTCCATCACATGCCTTCCCAGGAATAGCTGTAATCCATCTCAAATTTCTCAAATCATCTAATTTATTTTACAGTATTTACTGAAAATTGTCCAATTATTACTCTGCAGAAAGTGTGATGATTTTTCTCTCTCCTCATCTTGAGTTTCTGCTACAAACCTGAGCAGACCTCTATCTGTAATGTTGTGCATGCATTTTTAAGACTTGGTATTAGAATACTTCATCATTTGTTTTATTCTTCTTGTGAATTACAATGTTCAATGTGTATTGATGTTCACACCTAGATATATTGTGTGTTAAAAATGGCTACAAGTATATTGTTCTATTTGATTTTAGTGATTTTTTTTCTGTGAACAGTTCTCTCTTACAATATTTAGTTTTTGCTCCTCTCAGGCCTTGTGATTATTTTTATTTGGTTTGTCTTGGCATGTACCTGCTGTATTTGGTTTATTGTATTAAATACAAAGAAATATTAAACTGAAGAGGAGCTTAAAAGTCAGATACTACTGAGTTTGTTTTGCTGTTCATCTTAAAATATATTAATTTCCAGTACAGAATTGGAATTTCTAAAATTTACAGAGAAACCAACTAATTTAGATTTTATTTATTAACATATCCTCCTAACTGGCTTCAAAAAAAACCACTGAGATTATCTTGTTATATGTTTGTTTATTTGTTTTCTGTTTAACTCAGATAAATGCTTGTTACTAAACTTTTAATTAAACTTTTTCAAGTTTTATGGAAAGTATGTGTTTTTCTTTAGTGTGTTGTCATAGTCGGAGTAAGGGGTGAAATAATGAAAATGTGTCTAAAAAAACCCATGAAAATTAAAGTTCTGGAAACTGCTGACTTCAGAAGCCACAAACCAGAACTAATGGTGGAGCTCAGTGAGTGTACAATTGATTATAAAATAAAATTCTTTTTAAAAGAATCAAGCAACCAAATTGCCTTTTTCTCAGTTTATGAAAGCAGAATCATTACCTATTAAAGAGAGTAGTTATTTATGCCAAGAGTCCAGTTTCTACAGCATGTTGTGACTATGCAACATCTTGTCCTGGCTGAGAAAATAACCCTAACTGCCAAACATGGCTGTAACATTAACCCAAGGTGTCACGTTACCCTTCCCAGACGATACACACAAGATCCTGTCTACCACGCAGCTATGCACTGGATACCCAGCTCTGTCATATTCACCTTCCCAGCATTGTATAGAGACTTGACGCTCCAGATACAGGACAAAAGATAAATAACTATAATAACCTAGTGCATGTTTGTAAGACAAGGCTGAGTATCCCCTAGTACTTTGTCTAGTCTGAAAGGTTATATCATCATTGAAACAAAGTGCCAGATTGTTGCAATTTTTATACTCAACAGGGAACAACTACATTTTTGAGTGCCACCTAGTAAGCTGCTTCTGCCAGCAAAGCGAGGTCATGGGAGGTTTATGAAGTTAGAGTTAAGATTTATGTTGGAACCTTATCTGAGCAATTTCAGTTTTTCTGGCTTTTAAGGTTTTTGAACTACAGCCTTCTAATTTCCTGACCTTCAAATATATTTTAAGCTTAAATTTGAAATTTGTCACTATCAAATTCTGGTTTCTTGTTATAACTGTACCATTCTAATAGTATAGTTTTAATTAATGTAATATACAGACCTTACGCTATCTTAA